GTCCCACTGTTTTTCTGACTCAACAGTCTCTAGAATAATTAGCAAAATAACAGTTATTCTCCACCCAATAATTCTTAGGATAATACAATAGTATAATTTACTACTCATAATGCATCATTAACAAGCATATATAAATTGTCCTACCAAAACACATGGTCTGAAGATTGTGTTCAAGCATGAAACAGACTATCCCCACTTGTTGCTAGCTGTGTTCACTTTTATATTTATATATTTATATATACAGGGTGCAATGGATAAATTTTTGTCTAAATTAGGCAAAAATGAAAATAACACTGACATTTCATTTTAACAGATATACTTACTAAAATTACACAAAAATATCTTGAAATACTAAAAAGTAAATTTATTCAATAAAATCACCATTGGCTTCAACCATGGCCTCCAGGACTTTGAAATCTCTTGCAACTCTTCTGGATGGTCGTTTTTAAGTTGGTTGATGTTGCCATAATTGTTAGGGAGTTAGGTGGCCATATGTGGTTGCAGAAATTGTCTGACAGCCATAGCTGGGTTTTCCTGCTCGTGTAGCATGGTGCAGAGTCCTGTTGCCAGATATAGCTGCTCTCTAGACCCAGCATTACCTTATCAAGGCACTTGATGTAGTTCTCTCTATTGAGTCTGAGGCCCTGTGGGAAGATGAATGGAGGCATAACGTTGCCATCACTGGTGGTCACTCCAAATACCTTCGTTATCATCATTTGACTCATCCTACTCTTTCTGAATCTTCTGCACTGTACTCAAATTGATACTCCAACACTCTGAAATGTTTGTATTGGAGCTTCTATTGCAAATGTCAAGCAGTACAGCATGCAGTTTCCAAATTTCTGGTGGAGTGAATTGTATCATCGTGCTCTTTTTCTCACAGATGGTGCCCAACTGACCCTACTATACTGTGCAGTTGACAAGATCAAAACCAACGTGGATATGCAAAATTAAGAATATAAAATGATGGCAGTTTACCCATCACACCCTGTATATAGCTTTTTTTACTAAGTGTAGCTTATATATGGCACAAAGCTAAAATATATTCAGTACCCGGTAAGGATTGAACTTACCACACAGCTGTAATTGATCTAGCGAGACACTCTCTGTGTATATATATATATATATATATATATACTATGATGTAGTGCAATAGTCTTACTAGATCAAACTGAATAGTGAGTTTGATCTTCACTGGGTGCTCCATAATTTCGGCCTTGTGTCACACTAAGCTGAGCTTAGGAAATCGCTCTCATATTTTGACAGATGTTTTCATTAAGATATATATCATTGAATAATGTAGACAAATTTAATAAGCATACTAAGAAGCTTTTTCGTGAATATGAGAGGATCCTATTGAAAATAAGTAGACAAAACTTCTCTAAATTATTCAATGAGACGTCTTTATATATGTGTGTGTGTGTGTGTGTGTGTGTATGTGTAAAATAAAAGACAATTGGAAAATTTTGCAATACTTTTTTAGCCCCCTCAGACTTTATCAAGTTAAATGTGTAAATTTTATTTTGTAACTTGTATCTCCACATTTTCCTTGATAAAGCTCCTCAGGAGACGAAATGCCGTGGTAAAAAAATATTTTCTTTTTGTCTTTTATTTTATATTGTCATATACCCCAATTAAAAAAACAAAACAATCAAATGAAATGATCGTGTTTAGTTTAACTTTTAAGTTTTAATCGAACATTTTTACAAGTTCGTTTTACTTTTATAATCCGCCTTCCCTGTTAAAGTTTTACTTTTTATGTTTGGACGATTGTCAATCTTGTTAGAAAATAAAATGTAAGTGGGAAAAATTGAAAAAAACGTAATTAAATTGTAAATCTTGTAAATTTCAACGCCTTTTCCTTCTCAGAAAGACTTAATTTATTTTTTCCTTTTCGATTCTCCCAATCACTTTCAGTTTCTCCGTACCGCTGACGTCACTTCCGCTTTTATTTACTTTTTACGTCATTTCCGTCCTCCATCAACGTGATTTTTTTAGTTAGTTCACAAATATCTAGGAAGACGTATTGGAAGTGTTTGTTTATAATATTTACTTTATTTATTTAATTTTTTTTTGTTTTATCTCACTTATAGACAAAATTAGTATTATTTTACCCCTTGATTTTTATCTGACCCTTGGATTTATACATTAAGGGTCGATTTTTTTTTCGTCTCTCTCTCTCCGATTTTTACTTTTTTTCCCCCCCCCATCCCTTTTTTTTTTCTTGTTTTGTTTGTGTTCTGACTGACTTTTTCTTTCATTCACTTTCATTAATTATTTATATATATATAGCTTTTTATTACCAGGAAGAATAAGTTTCATTAATTTCTTCCTTCTCTTAAATTATATATATATATATATATACATATATATTTTTTTTTTCAATCTTTTGTTTTTTTTATTAAAACAACAAAGAACTAAAAACTAAATATAATAATTTTTCAATATGACCGGAAAGCTTTCAGTCGCTGTTGTTTGTTCCAGTAACCAAAATCGGAGTATGGAAGCACATAGTTTTTTAAGGTAAGTCATATATATATATATATATATATATATATATATATATATATATATACAGTGATTTATTTTTAAAGGAATATGTTGACTGTTTTCTTTACTTTAAGAACCGAGCATTGTTAACTTTTCAAGACGGTTTCGTTCGTGATTTTCTTTGTAGCCTAGACTTTTAATTTATTTTTTAAAAAATTCGAAGTACTGATAAAAAGAGTGAAAAAAATTAATAAATTAATCTATAAATAAATCATGATCCCAAAATAGTTAAAAATTAAAGCTGCTATTTTTCTCACAATTCAAATCCTTGGGTTGTTAACTAACTAGAGAGAGAGAGAAAAAAAAAAAAAACTTAAAAATGATTTATTTTCTTAAGAAATTCAAATTAAATTATTTTCAGTCAATCTTTTTTTTTTTTAATGGATCAATATGGTAGCTTTAAAGAATTGAAAAAAATATAAAAAAAGTAAGATATTTCCACTTCAGTTTACTTTGCTAAAAAAAAAAACATAAGAAATTTGATTTTTAAAGTTTTCTATTCAAAATCCTCTTAAGTTGTTTATTTAAAAAAAATCATTTATTTCTGTGTTATGGTAATTAGTAACTTTAAGTACTAACACAAACCAAAATTAACAGCTGTTTTGACCCACACACCTTAGTTAAATTATTGGTCACGAGGTGCGTGTACAAAAATTAGGGTTTGTCATAATCTCTTCTTTTTTTTTTTATTTGCACTCTTACATTTATTTTTAAAAAATTTAACTAATCATAAAAACTTAAAGTTTGTCAAAGTAGGTCTTCATTTGTAGAAGATTCTATCACTTTTACTTACTTAACCAGTAACACTCAGTAACACCAACAGTATTTTTAGTCTTTCTTTTTATTTTCAGACACTTTAAAAAATTAAATTTACTTCAGATGAAAACATCGATCAGTTCGATTTTTATTATTTGTTAGCGAAAAAAACAAATTCCTCTTTAAAGTTTAAAAAATGCTATCAATCAGTTAATATTTCGTTTTGTTTTCAACGTTTCATTTCAGTCGATCCATTCTCCAACCATCTTTCTTCGGGTAAATAAATTAAATTTAAATAACATAGCCTCAGATTCAGTTTTTTTTCTTTCTGGTCAACTGAAACGTGATGGACAAAAACTAGCACCAAAAATTAGCAGAAAATTGGACGATTTGTTTTGTATTGATATCATAAAGATTTCCAGAAAATAATTTTACATTTTTACTGCACATAAATTCGCTTATTTTTGTCTTCAACTTTTTAACTCCATAATGAGAAAATTGAACAACTTTCTTTAATTAGCAGTTTAATTAAAGAAACAGAATCTCTAATCAAGGTGAATAAGTTTTTTTTGTGGGTAGATTATTTAAAAATGAAATCCGGAAAAACTTTTGAAAAATATATAATTTTTTATCTTTTTTTTTTTTTTATAAATAAGTTTCGGATTTTATTTTTAGATTGAATTATTTTATTCTTATTTATCACAAGTTACATTTAAAAATAAAATTTAGTAATTTCAGAATATGAGGTTAGATAAAATAAAGTCACAAGTTATTTTTGTTTGGTTGTTTAAATGTGCTCAGAATATGAGGTTAGGTAAAATTATACAGGGGAAGTAATTCAGTATTTGATTTGCTTCCAAATTTTCGGACGCTGAAATGGAAGATACTCAAGCCAAGAAATTTTTTTTTAAAGAAAGAAAGAAAAAAAAAAAGGAGGGGGTTGTTATTGACACAGAACACGTGCCGGAAATTCACTGAATTCGATCAATTTTTCTGCTAAAATAATTATAATTTCTATTTCTTTTCATTCATTGCTTTGTTGAACTTATTATTTGACAATGTCTAAATAAATTATTTTTAGTTGTAATATTTATCAGAATAAATCTTCTTTTCAAAATTGCAGATATTTTGATTAATAAAATCAAAGTATTTATTTTTTCCATGCAGTAAATTAACCATATGTGACTAGAGAGTAGAGAGAAAACAAACGATTTTAGAGAGACAGTTGTTGTTAGTTAATTAATATTTTGTATCGTCAGGTGGAAAGGGAAAGTTTTTTTTTATTTTATTTTAAGGACATGGAAATTTTCGGTTTTGTAAATCAATCTCCAATCCAATCAAATCTGGCATTTTTTTATTTTTTTTATCTTGCATTTAATTATTAAAGCTTAAAATTTAAACAAACAGTAAAAAAAACTAAACACAAAAAACGGGCACCTGTAAATCAAAATTTCGAACGTGCTAGAAAAGATGAAAAAATTTAATAAATTAATCAAAAAATACTTTGGTCTTTCTTTCCTAGTCTTAACAAACATTTTACTATTAAACTTTTATTTTAATTAAGTTTGTAGTATTTTTTCATCACGGTATACTTTTTTAGCAATTTCGTGGAGATACGTTGCATTTCTTGAGTTTTTTCCTTAAGTGTGATTCGGTTTTTTATCAGGAAGAAAATAGAATTACACTACAGCGTGGGTTACCGAAAATTTCTTGGCCCTACCTATTTCTCAAAAATCAAAATTAAAGAATAAAAAAATAAAATTTTTGTATCTTGGATGGGCCGAAAACTTTTCCATTATGTCATACATAACACGGGTTATTGTATTTTTTTTTTAATTTTATTTATACACCGTAAGATTTTTTGCCTCTCTATCCTAAAAAAAAAAAATCTTTATTTTTTATTATGCATGAAGAAAGCTCCCCCCCACCCCCCAAAAAAAACAGCATATCTGCATTTGAGATTTTTGGGTAATAATGTTGATCCGATTTGAGTTGACTGTAGTGTAAAGTGTAAATTCTTAACATTAACCAGCCTCATATTCTGAGCCTTGAATGAAATGCATGAAAATAAATATAATAAAAAAACGAAAAATAACCCCCCGAAAACTAAGAGAGGAGAGAAAAAAAAAATTGGAGCTTTCTTAGGAGAAATCAAGAATACGTATCCCAACCCAAAATCTTATATATTATCGAAAAATACTTAAAATTTAAAAATTGAACTCTGATGATTTTTTTTATTTTCACGACAAACATAAGAACTTAAATTTGAGTCTTGCAAATATATAAAAAAAAACTAAGAACAAGCACTAAGTGAATTTCTGCGGCGAGGAGTTATTTATTTTTAACTACACTGTTTACGTGCCGACTATTATTGATTGACAAAGATGAGGACAATGGTCAGCTTGAGTGTAAAAAAAACTTTTCAGTTAATTAAAAAAAAAATAAAAATAAAAGATTACAAAATCAAATTTTTTCTTTTTAATCAGCAAAATACACAATAGAAAAAAACAATGGCCGTTGTCCGTTTTAAAAAAAACTCAATATTGTAAGTAGTAAACAATAATCGTCACTTAAAAATAGAATTTAAAAAAAAAGGCTTTAATTTTTACTCGATTTAAATACACAAAAATACATTTCATTTAAAAAAAATAAATAAATAAAAGTAAAACAAATATTATTTTTAATAACGTATGGCTCGCACTAGTCACTACTAGTCAACTGCCATGGTCAATATGGGTGGGTGAAGAAGTGATATTTGTATTACCGGTTGCCGACAGCCACACACATTTTTGTGTTGAAGTATGGTGGCCCGTAATGAAGGGAATCGCAATAAAAATTTTACTATTTTTAGACTTATTATTTTTCTTGTTGATCGAGATGTTTTTTATTTTTTTTGTTAACGGAATAATCATTAATTACTTTTTAAAAGTTACTAATCTTAAAGTACCGCCCATGCAATGCCGAAATTTAAAAAAAAAATGAAAAAAAACTTGAAGCTTTAATTTTAGTTTTAATTCCAAGCCAGTAGATTAAATTCAATATTCCCAATAAGAAAATTTGAAACTGAATGATTGATTTTGCTGTATTTGAAACTGAATTGACTGGATTTTTTTTCTGCTTACTAACAAAATCAAATTCATCAATATTGACAAATCTATCAACACAGCATAATTCTCTTTTATTAAAAAAAATCTTTCAAAAATAAAATATGCTTTTCTGAAATGTTATTTAAGAAAAAAATATCTGATGTAATGTTTAGTTCGAATTGAAACAAATATCACTTTTAGTTTATTGCAGAAAGCATCTTTTTTTTTTTCCTCACTTAGAGGGGATGTTTTCTTGACATGTTAAGTGATTTATTGACTGCCTAATTGTATTATTTACATTATTCGGACTGTTATCCTCATTTTCATTGCCATATTCACAATGTTTCGGCTGTTGTGCACTCCGGCTTTCTTCAGGTGATTGAGATTTCAAACTGAACCTTTTATTTTGTTCACCTGGATAGATTCTTCTAGTTCCACATACCATGCCTCTTCTGGATGTTGGAGTTATTTCCCTTTAGCTCAACTCTCCAAGTGGCCTGGTATTGTGAGTTCAATATAAAAACTTGGAGGGCTGAGTTAAAGAGAAATAACTGAGACACCCGGAAGAGGCATGGCATGTGGGACTAGAACAATCTACCCTGGTAGACGAAATAAAGGGTTCAGTTTGAAATTCCAATCACCTGAAAAAGACCGGAGTGCATGATGGCTGAAACGTTATGAATATGGCAATAAAGATGAGGATAACAGTCTGAATAATGTAAATAATGCAAGTAATCACAATACCTCATCTCAGAGATATTGAGGCCAACACGTGAATATAGCAGTGAAGATGAGGATAACAGTCCGAATAATGTAAATAATGCAAGTAATCATAATACCTCATCTCAGAAATATGGACAGATATTGACAGCCTAATATTTGGGTGATTTCAGTAAGGTGAACAGAAGTTAAAAAATATGTTGACTATAATGTGAGCACCTTTTTCATATATTTTTTTTTAACTACCTAATTAGCTCCTTAATTCAAAATATTTTAATCATTTTAATATTTATAGAATTTTTTTTAATCCTCTCACCCCAAGCAAGGCAATAAAGCCACTACAGTACATTTCACTGAATGTGAAAGAATATGAGAAGAAGAAAAACATAAAGGAGAGAGAACAATAAATGA